CTTCCCTTACTGTTCAGTTCCCGTGAACTGAACTTTTTTGAGGCTACTCCATCTTTTCCATGGTGGCATCAGCCAACAATTTCCTCAGCCGGGGGCCCCTCTTCTTGCATCCTCGCCCACACAAGTCTCATCCTGAAATAAGCCAGGCTAACAGGAATGAGGAAACACTATCTGGTGGTTCGGGTTTCCATTGCCCCATGATTAGCGATGTTGAGCAGTGTTCCATGTACTTCTTAGACAGTTTTAGATCACGATCACGATCATCCTGTTGTTCATCGATTGCCTTGAGCAGGCACCAGTAATGTCTCCTTCTTCCTAGCCCTGAAATTTTAAAAGAGCCATATTCAATGCTCTTTCAGGGTTAGGAGAATGAGACCCATCATTGTCATTGGTATTTGGCATATTGAGTACTACACGGGAAGTTTGCCAGACTCTGCCGCGCAGGCAGGATACTTTCGGTAGCCTGCCAGATTGTCCAAAGGAAAAAATGAAAAAATAAGGGGTTGCGTGGCCGCAAATGTGGCCACGAGCTTCTGGGAGCTGGGTTTTATAGTCTCTGAGTCTTGGCCATTGATGGAACCAACCTGGCGCTGGCAGCAGCTGGTGGGTGTGATGCCTACCTACTGGAATATGGGGGATCTGGGTAGAGAAGGCCCAGTCCCAATCCGAGCAGGCTTGGAGATCTCGGCCCCGGGACCCGCATGCCTGGGTTCCTCTCCCAGTTCCTTCATGCATGAGACTTGTCCGGACGTGTGGAGAGTGCTCTCAGCATGGTTGTGGCTGGTTCTGGAGGTCTTCGGCTGCTGGGGCTCTGCTCGGGGGGGGGGGGGGAGAGGGAAACTCAACCCGCCTCCCTCCAAGGGGCCCCAGTGAGGACAGCCAGGCGTGGGGGCAGGAGACTCTGAGTTGTTATCTTCTGGGAGCTGGGTTTTATAGTCTCTGCATCTTGGCCGTTGATGGGACCAACCTGGCACTGGCGGCAGCTGGCAGTTTTAGATCTTGTTTAGAAAATTTTTCATGCGGGTCTTTTGCCATTTAATTTGCTGTTAAGCTGTAAGATTTCTTTCTATATTTTGGATATTAACCATCATGGAGACGGATGGTTTGCAAATACTTTTTAAAATGGCAAGAATGCACCTGGCAGTGCTCAGGGGCTATTCCTGGCTCTGTGCTCGAGTGACTCCTGGTGGAGCTCAGGAGATCATGTGTGGTGCTGGGATTCCAACCAGGGTCACTCAATCAGTACAGCTGCCTTTCCTCTTTTACTATCTCTCTGTGCAGAAAATACACTTCTTATTTAATTTTGTTTTGTTTTGCTCTGTTTTTGCCTTCCCTTTCGGGTGTCAGGGTCTACTTCCAAACTGGTGCTTGAATAACTCCTCACAATGCTGGGAGAGCATGTGGTGCCAGGGATTCAATTTCAGGGTTCCTGCATGTAACGTATGTGTGCCAGCCCTTTGAGCCATCTCCCAGGGTCTAAAAATGCTTCTGGAGGAGCATTTTTATTGATAAGTTGTGCTGCCTCCAGTAAGCCTCAAAGTTCTCCCATCAGCACACATGCTGTCTCTCTCTCTTGCTTTGACTCTTTCTTGAGTCTCATCTCCAAGAGGTTGAGAAGCTTCCCTGCGTCTCTCAGAGGTGAGGGGGCCTGAGATCAGGGGCAGCAGGAAAATGGGAAGACAGGCAGGTGGGGGTCAGAGACCCGGGGGCGGACTCTCCCCATCAAACACAGCCCAGGGAAGTTGGCTGGGACAGAGTAGTCCTCAGGCAGAGGTTCCACAGGAAGGTTGCCGAGGGTCTTACAGGCCAGTCTGGTGGACCCACTTGTCCTCAGTCCTCTTTTCCTCAGGTGGGGCTGCTGAGCCTTTGGAAAGCATCTATGTCCACCACTATACCACCAACACACACACTCTGCGGGGCCTTTGATCCAAGGGCCCCATTCTTTGCAGGTGAGTGAAGGTCGATATCTTGTGGGTTGTCACAGCTGTCACAAGTAGTCCTGGAAAATTCTTGCTCTGATTGGTGGTGGAGAATGAGCACTGGTGGAGGGATGGGTACTCGATCATTGTATGACTGAAACGCAAGCATGAAAGTTTGTAAGTCTGTAACTGTACTGCACGGTGATTCACTAATAAAAAATTTTTTAAAAACTGGAAAAAGAAAAATACTTGCTCTGTCAAACTCATCTAGATTTAAATGCCATCTCATCTTGCTGTGCCACCTCAGGCAAATTCTTTCGTGCACCAGAGCCTCATATTCCTGCAGAAATGAGCACCTTTATAGAAAGAATGACCATCACTGATGTTTGAGGAGGGTTTCTCTGCAGTGGTTCTCGTACAATCTGAGCACCCCGGGCTAGCATGTAGGTTAAATTGGGGTGAATCTCCATGAAGGGCCGAGAGACTAGCAAGTGGGAAGCACCTAGCTACCATCTCACCCCAGTTTATGAGGGAAGCAAAAAACTGTGGGTTCTGAACCCAGGCCCCAAGACACCCTCACTTCCATGTTAACACAGCACTCTGAGGCCTTGACAACATCATAGAGTGCATAAAAAGACTGATCACGGCTAACCTGGGGTCCAAATAATCAAGGAACAAGGGGCGGGGTGCATTTAATACATCATCTTCATTCATTGCAAGGGAAAGGGGGTGAGGTGGCCACAGGAGACAATTTCACCAAGCATGGAGTACATGGAGTGTCCTTATTTTGTGTGTTTGAAATGGAATGGGTTACGGGAAATCACAGTATGAAAATATCATGCAGCCTTTGAGGGAGCTTGTCTTGGGAAGACAGAAAGCTGAGATTTGGTTTCGCTGTGCCGGGGGGGGGTCTGTCTGCCCTCTCTGAGCTGGAACATCTTCCCTGAGTGGTGGATTATGGCAGAGCCCACCAGGAGAAGGAGTCTTCTGGTTCCTGTTCCAGCAGGCCTTCTTCTCGACCTGTCTGGCAGTGAGCAAGCATGTTCTGAGCTCATGTCGATGACAATCAATCACCGTCCTCCCGTTGTTCATCGATTTGCTCGAGCGAGTCCAGTAATGTTTCCATTGGAGACTTTTGTTGTTACTGTGTTTGACATATCGAATACATCATGGGTAACTTGCCAGGCTCTGCCGTGTGGGCGAGATACTCTCGGTAGCTTGCCAGGCTCTCCGAGAGAGGCAGAGGAATCGAACTCGGGTCGGCCATGTTGGCTGCATGCAAGTCAAATGCCCTACCGCTGTGCTATCGCGCCAGCCCCATTGATGACAATAATTGGATATAAATAAGAATGGAAGCAGACTGGGGGTTGCTCAAAAATTCCCTAGAGAGGCCACTCCCTGATCAGCTAATGAGAGATGTCCCAGGTTCAGTTCAGCAGCCCAAGAAGTAGGAAGCAAGACTTGTGGGCATGTGTGAGGAAACTGGGGGACGTGCTGGGGTCATACCCTACTCATTCATTCACTCATTCATTCATTCATTCACTCAGGTGCTATTCTAGGAATGTGTGATATGCCAGAGAAAAGCAAACTCCCCCACCCCCAAATCCCTACTTTTCTTGAGCTCATATTCAGGTATGGGGAGGTGGAAGGAGGGGAGCAAGACAGACAACGAAGAGATAAGTCAACGGTATACTGAATGATGATGAGTGATAAGATTGAAAGAAGAATATTGAAGTTTCAATTTTATTTCAGTTTTCTGGTGGATTTTTAATGTGTCCTTTTGTGCTCACTGGTTTCTTTTTTCTTGTTAATATATAATATATAACATATATTATATTATATTATATTATATTTACCTATATATTATAGGTATATGATATATATTATTTTATATATATATATATATATATATATTATCCCAAGCCTGCTCGGATTGGGACTGGGCCTCCTCCACCTAGATCACCCATCTTCCAGTAACTGGACAGTTACACACACCAACTGCTCCCGGGGCCGTGTTATCCCTTCAATGGCCAAGACCCAGAGACTATAAAACCAAGCACCTGGAAGTGCGCAGCCACATTTGCGACTGTGAGACCTCTTATTTTCTAGTTCTCCCTCTCAGAGAACCCGGCAAGCTGTGGAGAGTATCCTGCCCACATGGCAGAGTCTGGCAAGCTCCCCATAGCATATTCAATATGCCAAAACCCAGTAACAATGAGGGGTCTCATTCCCCTGACCCTGAAAGAGCCTCCAATGTGGCGCTTGCTAAAATCTCAGGGCTATGACAAAGGAGACGTTACTGGTGCCTGCTCGAGGAAATTGATGAACGGGAAGTCAGTGATACAGTGCTATAGTGAAATATATATATATATATATATATATATATATATATATATATATATGAGCCCGGCAAGCTACCGAGAGTATCCCACCCACACCCACCCACACGAGCATGCCAAAAACAGTAATGATAACAGGTCTCATTCCTCTGACTCTGAAAGAGCCTCCAATCACAGGGAAAGACAAGTAAGGAGAGGTTGCTAAAATCTCAGGGCTGGGAGGAATAAAGACATTACTGGTGCCTGCTCGAGTAAATCCAGGACAGTGGTGCAGTGATACAGTTGTTAATTCAAGGCAACTGTGATTTTACAATCCTGTTAGTGATAGGGTTTCCCCTTCCACCCTTGTCCCCAGATCCCCCTCACAAACATCCCCCACCCGCTGCGCCAAGTCTCACTACCACAATGAGTTCTGTTCCATGGAACAGTTCTTAGGTTCTGGGCTGGTTGGTTGGTTTGAAGCAATTTTAGGTAAGGCTGATACTTCGGTGGAAATCTAAAGGAGGTGAAGGGAAATCCCTGGGAGAAATACTTTCTGCAAAGAAGTAATGGGTACAAAGGGCCCGAGGCAGAAATGAGCATAGGGGTTACAGCCGGACCTGGAGGGTGTCAGAGGAGACCCGCACCCGCGCCCTCCGCCCCGCGCCTAGGCCACGCCCCTCCCCTGCGGTTCCGCGCGACGGCGTTGCCATGGCGACGCGCGTACACAGGCCGGTCTGGGGTGCGGGGTGCGGGCGCCGGCTGGACACTCCGCGGGAGCGCGGCCCGGCGGCCTCGCCCGGGAGCGGGCCCGGCGCCTCCAGAGCCCGCCGTCCTCTGGGCAGGGACCACACCGCGGACTTCCTTCTCCGCCCGGGTGAGCGCGGTCTGGCTAGGGCTACCTGGGGAGGCGGCTACCTGGGAACCAGGTGGGGCTGTGCCGGCCCTGCGGGGTCAGGATCTGGGAGCTCACGTGTTCCGGTGAGTCAGAACTCGTCTCGGATGCGGGATCACCAGAAGGGAGGTGCCCCAGCCACCGTGCCCCTCTGCAAGGGGGGGCCGCGCCTCACCCCCGCCCCTGCCCCGGGGTGGCCAGCGCGGGAACCTCAGTCCCCACCTAGGCCAGTCTGGGATGTCCTGTGCGGAACAGCTGGTATGACGAGGGTTTCTGCGGGGCTCCCCTGTATACAGACAACATCACACACACACACACACACACACACACACACACACACACACACACACAAGCGCACAAACCCTTACCTATCCCTTCCTTGAGAAATTTCTACCTACAATCTCTGGGCACTGAAGACGTAAGTTTCAAAAGGAAATTTGCTCCTCTACTCCAGTTCTCTTCCATCGGAAGTGATGGAAGTGGGTGCAAGTGATTGCAGCTCTTTCTCTCTGTCGACAGCTGGGTCCTAGGGCACTGGAGTAGAAAAAAATTAGTTTAACCCATTCAAATGGCCTAGTGGTTTCAAGTAATGTCAGATGTCAGGTACCCGAGTGATGACACTTGACAAATTTAAGGTGAAGAAATGTAGTGCAAACAAGAGAACTAAAGAAATAGAGTTTTAATTGGGCTTTTTTAATTTTTTTAATCATCTAGGAAAGCTACTCAAGGGGAAACAAAAGGAATTCATATCAAGGACTACTGGCTCTCTGGTTGCCTCTTATTTTGCATCTCTATTCTTGCAGCAAGCATTTATTGAGTGCCTTTGTGTCAGGTGCTGCTCTGGGTGCTGGACAGGAGTTACTGGGCAAAACTGAGAAGCGGCTGAGATTTTAGCCTGCCTTCAAGGTGACAAGTTAATAGATAACACAGAAAACAGGAGTCTCCTGGGCCAGAGACAGAAACTGCTACTTTTGGTCACACAGCAGATACTGCAGACTTTAAGATTTTACATTGGTATCACTTCCCCTTCCCCACAAAACCTCATGGGGGTGGCAGAACAGCTAAATTTGGTGCCATTTTCATGTCCCAGACCGAAAACACAACACAAATTTCAAGCTTAGGAAACCCCTGTCTTTGAAAGCTCTGCCCTAGAAGATAGGCCCTGGGAGGAAATGTTGTTATAAACAAATCTGCGTCCTGCAGGGACATTTACCTCTGGCCTCCCAGGTTGTTGGTAGGCAAATATCCCTGGAAATATGTATGGTCCAGGATAAAAATACACCCCTGCCTTTGCTCTGACAACAGGGACAAACACAAGAAGCCCCAAATAATTATCTATTAAAGAAAATAAATAAGCTCATAAAGACACAGTCTGGCCTGCTGGTACAAGTAGCTCAATTGGTAAGAAACCAAACAGCAAAGGAACAAGGAAATGCCTAGTAACACTGCATGGCCGGAAAGGGCAGAACCCTTCTTCAGCAAGAGTGAAGCTGGAGTAGCTGGCGGAAAGTGGGGTGGTAGGAAAAGGTGCAGGGTTCTGAGCAGAGAAAAAGCCTTGGGAACATTTGGGGAAGAGCAAAAATCAGACATGTGCTTCATCCAGGTTACTTATTTATCCATCTAAATTGAATCACCATGAGATACACAGTTACAAAGTTGTTCATGATTAGGTTTCAGTCATATGATGTTCTAACACCTATTCCTTCACCATTGTACATTTCCCACCAACAGAGGTTCCCAGTTTCCCCCACCACCCAATCCCCACCCAGCCTGTCTCTATAACAGGCAATTCTCCTCCTCCTCTTTCTCCTCCCCCATCATCTCCTCCTCCTTCTCCTCCCCCATCATCTCCTCCTCCTCCTCCTTCTCCTCCTCCTCCTCCTCCTCCTCCTCCTCTTCTTCTTCCTCCTCCTCCTTCTTCTTCCTCTTCCTCCTCCTCTTCCTTCTCCTCCTCCCTTTACCTACTTTCAATGCTCAGTTTCTGTCCAAAAAGATCATTTCAATCTATTATTATCATAATGGTCCCTTCTCTATCCTAGCTGCCCTTCACCCCACTCCCACCCCAGACACTCTTGTGGCACGCTTTCAACCATTTACCAGTCCATCTGGCACCTGCTTTCCCTGGCCTTGGATAATATATATTATATCCCACAAATGAATTCAGTCATTCTGTATCTGTCCCTCTCCTTCTGACTCATTTCACTCACTATGATACTTTCCAAGTCTGTCCATTTATAAGCAAATTTCATGACTTCATTTTCCCTACCAGCTGCTTAGTATTCCATTCTGTTGATGTACCATAGTTTCTTTATCCAGTCATCTGTTTCTTGGGCACTCTATCATCCAAGCTTTGAGTGTGAATCTGGTGTAATTTTCTGTGCTTTTCCTACAGAAGAGATAGCCCTACCCATTGTACATTTTAGATAAATTCGATTTAAACATATGACTTGAAGGTACAGTCCTTCCCCCTGAAAAATGAAGTGATTTGATTTCTAGAGACCGTGCTTCTTTTGGAAAGAGAAATGCCTTTCCCTGATACTGGTGGCAGAGAAACTTAATATTTAAGTGTATTTCTCACATTCTGTCGATATTAAAACTATGTGTGAGGCAGCACGAGCCTCAGCATCTATAGAGAATGAACAGTTCATCATATTTGTATTTCTCTCATTCCCAGGGAGGATTGTCCCTTCCTTTCAGAGGATGGGGCTTCTGGTTTCAAGAGTTTCTGTTCTTGCATGCCCAAAGTGTCCACCATTGGTGCCTCCTCCCACATCCCCCCCAAACCTAGTCTCTGTCTCTGTCTTACCCACCCAGCAGCAACAGAGGAATGAGAAGGGAGCTGCCACAGGAATATGCAGTCACTGTCACTGTCACTGTCCTCCCGTTGTTCATAGATTGGCTCGAGTGGGCCCAGTAACGTCTCCATTGTGACAATTGTTACTGTGTTTGGCATATTGAATACGTCACAGGTAGCTAGGGCAGCATTTCCCCCATCCCCATCCCCTCCACTCAAGGCTATTTTGGCCTTAACCTGTCCTGGTTTCTGTTTTCCCATCTGTAAAGGGGGACCATTCTGCAATTTCCCCTTCAGGATTTTTTTTTGAGAACAAGAAGAAACAGAATGAGAAGGAAAAGGGTAACAGGCCCTTAGCAGGGAGCCAGTAATGATGCTGGAGATGTTGATGAAGAGCAACTTCAAGAAGATACTTTGACCCTGGGTGATCACAACTACATGAGGGATTTTCTGTTTGTTTGATTTGGGGCCCTACTCAGCGATGCTCAGGGGTTACTCCTGGCTCTGAACTCTGTAATTATTCCTGGTGGTTCTTGGGAGACCATATGGGATGTTGCGGATCAAGACCGGGTTTGCTGCGCGCAAGAGAAACCTTACCCACTGTTCTGTCTTTGGCCCCACATGAGGATTATTTTTTTTCATAATTCCACAGTTTTGCATTTCAGTACCCTTTCAGCAGCTACCAAGAGGAGAAGCACTTTTCTGTGTAGAGGTGGTAAATCAAGTTGAATGTATTTCAGCTCAGAATTCAGGAAAATTATGAATTGCCATGAACATTTTGGAATGCATTGTAGTCACTAAAATTTTTAATTTATTTTTCTTTACAATGTTTGGGATTGAACTCAGATCTTATACATGCAAGATATGTGCTTGGTCACTGAGCCTGAAACTTTTCTGTGGAAAAAAAAGTATATACGGGGCCAGAGCAATGGAACAATGGGTAAGATACTTGCTTTGCACATGTCCAACTTGGTTTTGATTCCCAGTGCCATAGATAGTCCCCAGAGCCCCTCCAGGAGTGATCCCTGAGCATAGAGCCAGGGGTAAGCCCTGAGCAGAGCCAGGTGTGGCCAAAAAAAGAAAAGTCTATGTGGGGCCAGAGAACAGGGAGACATTATAGGGGTTAAGGCATGTGCTTTGCTTTCCCAAAAACCATGATTTCCCAAAAACCCCATAAAAATGTTAAGGCCTGTGCAGCCCTGGTTCAATCCCTGGCACTGCATGGTTCCCTGAGTATTGCTGGGTACAGTCCTGGAGGTCCCCAAGCACCACACTGGTAATCCTGATGCCACTAACACTGAGTGAGCTGCCTTTGTTGGGCTTTGCATTGAACCAACAGCACAGTTGGCCAAGAATCACAGGTGGGACCCCTGGGTTTCCTGAGCGCTGCTTGGGTGCCTCTCCCTCCAAAAAAAGAAACAGCATATATCCAGGGTCTGTGTGATAGTCAGGTGTTCGATGGCCAGCACTTGCAGAGTCCAGAGTTTGATCCCCACCACTGCATGGTTCGACCTCACCAGCACCACTGAGTGTGGCTCCAGAGGTCCCCCACACTCCACTGGAGTGGCCCTAGGGTTCCCAGGCTACCCCGGGAGAGGACTTGGCCTTAACAAGAGAACAGAAATAGAAATTCATCAGCCAGAGAATGTGATAAAGCAAATACAGCAAAACTATAGTTTAGAATCTAGTTGATGGGTCTAGAGGAGTTCATATCCATGATTTACCTTTTCTACATTAAAAAAAAATCTTTTTCCTAGTAAAAAGTTCAGGGGAAATATGTGCCCAGTCCTGACCGTGATGTGGCCAAGATATAATCTGGCTATCTTGCCTTTAGAAATTATTTTCTTTTCTGACTATGGGAAGACATGGTTTTTGGGAAAGTATGGAATGCCCACCTCCTCAATGACCAGTTGTCAGCACTTCAAGAGGCTCTGTAGCTTACAGAGTCTTGTACAGAGTCCCATCAGATGAAGATTAAAAGCATTAGTTATTAATATAAAGTTGTGCTTATCAGGTAACTTCACATATATCACTGCATTTCTTACAAAACCTATTGGGATACAGAGCATTAGAAACCCCTTTATACAGATGAGGAAACTGAGGCATAATGCATTAAGTAACTTATTCAAAATTCCAGAACTAGTAAGTAGTGAGATAAGACTTTTGATCATGAGAACTTGATAGATCAAATAACCAGAGCCATATCAAGTTCAAGGGGAAATAGACAGCAATTATCAGTGGAATTCTAATTTGTTGTTATACTGATTTGGGTAGTATTTGTGCTTTGAGTTACATAAAAAGTGTCCCATATGATAAGTGTTCCATATCAGAACCAAGCTCATTTAAGCTAGTTATTATCTTTAAAAATCATCCTATGGGGCTAGAGAGATAGTCACAATCATCACGATCACGACCACCCTGTTGTTCGTCGATTGCTCGAGCAGGTGCCAGTAACGTCTTCTTCGTCCTAGCCCTGAGATTTTTTTTAAAAGTGCCATATTCAAGGCTTTTTCAGGGTTAGGAGAATGAGACCCATCATTGTTACTGGTATTTGGCATATTGGGTATACCACGGGGAGTTTGCCAGACTCTGCCGTGTGGGCAGGTTACATTTGGTAGCCTGCCAGTTTGTCCAAAGTAGGAATGAGATGATAAGATGTCGCGCGGCCGCAACATCTTTCTGAGTGGGGATCAAACCCGCACTCAGCGCGGGAGCTAAGTGTGATAATCTCTGGATCCTGGCCATTGTTGGAGTTACACGACAGTTGGTGGGTGTAACTGTCTAGTTACTGGCAAGTCCAGTCCCAAACCGTGCAGGCTTGGAGATCTCAGCCCCGGGTCCCACACACTTGGGTTCCTCTGCCAGTTCTTTTATGCGTGAGGCTCATCCAAGTGTGTGGAGAGTGGTCCCAGCATGGCCTTGGCTGGGCCCCAGAGGTCTTCAGCTGTTGGGCCCTGGTGGAGACAGTCAGGCACAGGGTAGGAGACTCTGCCTTGTTCTCTCCCGGGAGCTGAGTGTGATAATCTCTGGATCCTGGCCGTTGTTGGAGTTACACGGCAGTTGGTGGGTGTAACTGTCTAGTTACTGGCAGGTCCAGTCCCAAACCATGCAGGCTTTGTAGAGAGATAGTACAATGGGTAAAGTGCTTGTCTTGCATATGGCTGACCCGAGTTTAATCCCTGACACCCCAAATGGTCCTGTAAAGCCCACTATGAGTGATTCCTGAGTACTGAGCCAGGAATAAGTCCTGAGCACCGCTGAATATAACCCTAAAACAAAACAAAAAACTGTGAAAAGCAAATCAACTTTAAAATGTGAAGAATTAGAGCCAGCAAGAGAGTATAGGGGTTAAGGTGCTTGTCTTTTGTCAGAAGGACCCTGGTCCAATTCCTGACACCAATTGTGGCTCCCTGGCCACCATCTGGAGGAAGTTCTGAGCAACACTGGATGTCACTCAAATACAGCCCAAAGTACAGAACTGGAATTGTGATTGTTAAGCCTCATCTACCATTACTACCTCTACTGGTACAGACATTACATGTGCTTCCTTAACTAGTTCAAAATATATGACTGAATAACGAGAACACTGTATTTTTTCCTAACAAATTTTTTCTGAAAACCTTATCCAGGGAAAGCAGAAAGTATGAAAGCCTATCTAAAGAGCGCAGAAGGCTTTTTTGTCCTGAATAAAAGTACTACAATTGGAAGGCATGCGAACTCAGACCTGGTCATAGAGGTAAGAAGATGCCCTGCCAGTTCCTACCCTCCCTGTCCCTGTCTCTGTTCAAGCACAACCTCTCTGCTTTCCTTGATGAGCCACTAGCTAACCAAATGCTGGAGGACTTGAATTTCCCTGGCATCCAGAGTGAAGATGAGGCCAATGCGGTGTGTGGCATGTCCTCTGCCCTGGGCAGCCCAGGTCCAAAGGGCATAGTTTAGAAGATGGGCATGGACCAGATGACCTGGCATCCACCTATTCCAGCCCTGGTAGCCAGGGCCACCTCAAATGTCCAGAGTAAGTGCCATTCTCATCCCCTTTCCAGAACTCTCTGGAGACTGTCATGGCCGCACACCAGCCGGCCCACCAGAGCCCTCCAAGTGGTGAATGGGGGTAAGCCCTGGGCTTAGTGTTCTTTCATTTCCTGCTCTGAATCAGCTGTGGTTTGGTCCAGAGCCTCAGTTCACTGACAGCCAAGCAAGTTGGAAGAAAGGAAAGAATCATAAAATAAAAGTGGTTCTGAGCCTTTTTAAATATTGAAAAGGGCTGAAATACTGAAGCAGAGAGGGACAGTGGAACCTCTATCACTGTGAAAGACACTTCTGTCTCAGGCCTCGCTCAGTAGACTATTTTTAACTTCTTATTTTGAAACAATTATGGATTCAGAGGAAGTCCAAAACTAGTAGAAGGATCCCTGGTACCCCTTCACCCAGCTTCCTCCAAGCTGCCTTACTTATTACCTAAGTATAAAACTATCACAGCCAGGGAAATCGACATTGGTACACAGTGTGTCCGTAGTTCTGTGACCTTTCATCCCATAAATAGATTCAGACGCAGTCATCAAATACAGAATATTCCATCATCAAAGCTCTCCCATGGGATATGACTTTATCATCACAATAAGGATATCCCCAAGCCCTGACAACCACCAATCTGTTCTCCAGCCCTACAATTTTTAACATTTTGAAAGTGCTCCATAAACAGAATCATAAATGTGTGACCTTTTGAAATTGGTTCCCTTCCCTTGGCATAATGCCCTTTTAATCCATTAAGGTTGTTAGATCATATTTTTTATTGCTGAGTAATAAATAGTCTGTGGTGGTATAAATATACCAGTGTTCAGCATTCACATATTTCCAATTTGGGGCTATTAAAGATAAATCTATAAACATTTATATATGGATTTTTATGTGAACATTGGTTTTTATTTCTCTGGGGTAACTGCTCACGAATGCGGTTGCTTGATCATATTGTTAAGTATATATCTGACTATTGATCATATTGTTAAGTATATATCTGACTATAAAGTATCAGATTATTATCCCACGTGGCTACCATTTTATATTCTTGCCAGCAATGTATAAGCCATAGTTTTACTTGCATCCTTAATAGCAATAGTTTTTATCAGCTTTTTATTTTAGCTCTTTTGTAAGCTAAAACAAAATGTCCCGTGATGAAAAGAGTAAGATATATCATCATTGTCTTAATCTGCATTTTGGAGTGGCCACTGATATTGGACTCCTTTTACTGTACTTTCTTGGTGTTTGCATATCTTCTTTGGTGAAATGTCAGCTGCTCTTTTTCAGATTGGATTTCCTTTTTTACGGTTGAGTTTTGAGAGTTTGTTAAAATATATTTTGATTTGAGTTCTTTGTCACTTAGGTGGTTTGCAAACAGCTTCTTCCGGCCTACTGCTCGCTTATCCATTCTCTTAACGGAATAAATCCTTCTCAAAGCAAACGTGTTAAATTTTGATGCAATCCAATTTGTCACTTTTTTATCATATAAATGATGATTTTATTTTACCAGGGTAGAAGGGTGGGATTGTTGGGCCACACCCAGTGGTACTTAGGGCCTACTCCTGGCTCGATGCTTCAAGTTCATTCCTGGCAATACTCAACAAACCATGTGGTGCTGGGGATCAAAGCAGGGATGGCCACATGCAAAGCAAGTGCCTAAAACCCTGTAGTATCTGGTCCTGGGATCATGATTTTAGTGGAAGGTATATATAATATGTTAACAAACCCTTGATACTGAGAATTTTCTCTTATATTTTATATAGTTAAAGCGTTGTAGTCTTGTTTTTGTGTTTGTTTGCGGGTTATCCCCAGCAATCACAGGATTCCTTCTAGTATTGCTCAAAGGTCACTCCCCATAGTGCTTAGGAGACGATGTGGTGTCAGGCAGTGAACCCAAGACCTGGCACAGGCAAAGCAAGTGCTCCGCCACAAAGCCACATTCCTCATTATAAACATTTTGAATTTATTCTATATGTGATAGGATATTTAGATTGAGTCTCCCCCTCTCCCTACAATGGGTATTAGTTGCTCCAGTACCAAGTGTTGGAAAAACAAAAAATCCTTTTTCTTCTTTAAAATGACTTTTTTACATCTTAGTCAACACCGTTTGGCCAGTTTTATGAAGCTTATGTGGAAGCTGTTTCTGAGTTCCTGATTAGATTTCATTGCTCTATGTGTCTGCTGCTGTAGATACAGATACCTAGGGCTGGAGAGATAGCACAGCGAGTAGGGCATTTGCCTTGCACTTGACTGATCCAGGTTCGATTCCTCTCTGAGAGCCCAGCAAGCTACCGAGAGTATCCTGCCCGCACAGCAGAGCCTGGCAAGCTCCCCGTGATGTACTCAATATGCCAAAAACAGTAAGAACAAGTCTCACCATGGAGACGTTACTGATGCCTGCTCGAGCAAATAAATGAACAATGGGAGGACAGTGCTACAGTGCACTATGTATCTGTCTCTATAACAGTATTGAGTAATGTTAATTTACCATTGCTATGCAAGTCTTAAATCCCACTTTATTCTACTCTAAATTTTTTAACCTATTCTGGTCCTTTTGCCTTTCTTTATAAGCACTATTACAAACCTTTCCATATATATACTTGCTGAAATTTTGTTAGGAATTGCGTTTAAACCCACACATTCATTTGAGAAGACCTGCTATCTTTACTATGCTGTCTTCCAATCCATGAACATAGTATATATCTCCCTTTATTTGGGTGGTCTTTGATTTCCCTTTTTTTGTTTTTGAGTGTTTGTTTTAACATACAATACCTATGCATATGTTCTTAGAGTTACAGATATATTTAAACGTATCTCTGTTTTGAATGATGGAAATCACGCTACATGTTAAAATTTCAATGCCCATATGTTCATTAATATTGTATTGAAATACAGCTGATTTTTACATGGTTACATCATCTCTTACAACCTTGACTACAATTTCTAATAGACTTTTTGTAGGTTTCTTGGAATTTTATGCATAAATAATCATGTCAAATGCAAATAGGAACAATTTTACTTCTCCCTTTCTGGTTAGAATGCCCTTAATTTTGCTTTATTGCACTCAGATTCTCAGAATTCTGCTGAATAAAGCCTATAAATGTAAATATTTTTGCTTATTCCTGAGCTTACGGGGAAAGGCATTCAATCTCCTGCCAGTTATGAATGATTGTGGGTCTGAGTGGTAGTCAGGGACTTAGCACTTTCTTACAGGCAGCACTGACTGGTTGGATTCCTAAGCACAGAGCCGGAAATACCCCCTGAGCTCCTCCAGGTGTACCCATGCCATGATGTAAGCCGGAGTATTTTTGTAGATATTCTTATTAAATTAAGAATATTCCTCATTATACCTAGTTTTCTGAGATTTATTTTAATCATAAACTAAACAGGTGGGCACTGGTGGAGGGACGGGTACCTGATCGTTGTATAACTGAAACCCAAGCACAAAAATTTGTAAGTCTACAACTGTACCTCATGGTGTTTCATTAATAAAAATTAAAAAATAAAAAAATAACTAAATGGACTGATTTTTAGGCTTTGCCTGTGTGACATGAAAACCACAGAAAATCAGAAAAATCCCAGAAAATCTCTCTACAAGACCATAGAAAGTCCGTTTAATGAACAAAGTAGGAAGTAGGGGACGAGGAGGGAAGAGTAACAATTTCTTATTTATTATAGTAAAGGGTAGCGTTTTATCGAGTTTTATTTCCTATAAATACATTCTAACCTAATAACGGAGTTCCCTGTTTCTAACTCAACTATTATAACAGAAAACAAATCATTTTTAAAAGCATAGGCCATGGACATGAACAGCCCTGGGTTTCTTCAGGCAACTTTCTAGCTGAATCACTTCAGTTTCTTAATTATTAGGAGCTCACTTTCCTGGTCTATAAATGACTCATGTCACAGAGGTTTTTGAGGGTGAAACAAGGACTTGTCTATAAAATGTTTGGTTCTCAGGGCTAAAGAAATAACACTCTGATCATTATTATGGTCCCATAAAATGGGCAAATCCCCGAGAGAGGACTACTTAGAGGGGAACAGAGGGTTGAGATGAGTCTCCACTGATAGTTACAAACAGGTTGGAAAAGGAAACTAATGAGGATAATTATTATATGGACAGAAATTGAGTTCATTGCATAAAAATAATTGACTGCTTACTTTTCCTCGGACTCAATTTGAGAAGGAATTTGCCACCCCCAGCAGCAATCACATTGATTTATGAAGGAGTCAGCTGCACTTCCAGAGCCTGAGCTTCTATTGGCTCCAGAGAGAACAGATGATGCATGAATCGCCAAATGTTTTCTGAATAGATTTTTGATGGGTGCTTCTATCTTCTCTAGAGAAATCCTCTTCCCAGGGCTTAAATGGATTCGGGAGAGGAGAAATGCTTTTAAGGAGGGTGTAGGAACAGAGTCTGTTTCGAAAACTTGAAACCTGCAGGCAGATTAGCATTTTCCAATTTTATAGGACCAGGTGAAGTAAGGATTCCCTCTCTGCTGACTTCACTGGGGCTTCTAATTAGGAGAATCATCCGTGATCAGCTTTCGACCTCCCTAAGTAATAATTCAACAGTCAATTTATAGTTTGTTATTTGTGCCACTACAAGCCACTCGACTAAAGTTTGGAAAATACATTAATAAAAAAGCACTTCTAAAATTACCCAGTGGTTACATCCAGAAAATAAGAAAGATTGTCTTTATTTGCCTGGTTAAACCC